AATGATTTTTTTTACTATTTTTATAACATTTATGTGTTACAAATCATTATTAGTATATTTCAAAGAGTGAAATTTGAACATTGAAATCAGTATCAATAAATAGAACGTGAGTTCTATGAAGAAATTATATCCCTGTTTTCTGACCACAAATTTATAATATTTCAAATATTATTACATGTTTCTTTCAGGAAATCTTCAACATAATGGGATATTGCACATTGTCTTTTCTTTTTCTCAAATTCTTGTATTTAATTACAAACATAAAGGAGGCTAAAAAGCCATATTTTCACGAAATCGTTCTTACATCACTCGCATTACTCTTCAACGTGTTTTATTCATCTAATCTTACTCTATTAATTATCTAATCTTATTTTTCTCCTTTCCATGAACTAAGTATAAAATTTTATTAAACTTTCCAAATTAATCTCGAGTCAATTTATCCACAACTATGTACTAGTAGTGTAGATACTAGTAATAATTACTACTTTATAATAGTGCATAATATCTTATAAATTGTATTTATCTATTAGGTACTTTCAAATAGATATCTTATATTTGCTGAATGAAAATCATTCCTTTTTAATAGGATTTGATAGAACATGTTCAATCAGCAAAAACAACCCGTTTTGCACAACAGATATATGACAAAATATGTGCATTATATAAAGTATACACACATTCAGTATGCATTTAAAGAGTCTTAATGAACAACAGTTTTTACTGTTTTAAAGATATCACTAATTTAGTGATAATAAAATCAAGAAATCAAGTTATTGATTATGAAAAAAGAAATACATATAATTTGACTACAATATTTATTCTGAGAATTTCTATGGACAATTCATTGTGATGTATTACACACACATGTATTTCTTGCAATCGAAATATCCATCTTCTTTCTCGAGGAAAAGTACGTTCGACTGTACGCGATTGTTTTACAATCGCGAAATAATGTACAATATATACTGACCATTATTAATCAAGAATCTCTTATTGGAGGAGAAACTGCAATCACAAGATAGGCTTACTTACTTGAAACTACTAGTCAATGAATCTACTGGTATGAGGTGAGTAGATTTTGTAAAACTGTTATTATGCGTAATTCTATTTTAATCTTCGGGTGGGACATTCACATGAGAATATGGTAAAGATTATAAAAGATGTGGACTCTTTATACCGAATTTTAATTGATGGTTTTGCGATAGTGTGAATCTTTTATTTATATTTAATACAATATTTTCTTATATTTCTACATTTAACAATGAATACATAAATTGTATTTCAGTCATTATAGGATGTGGCAGAAAGTAATATTTTAATTTGTAATCTTTACCAACGAAATTGAATTTGCCTATAACATAATGTGAGCCTTGAAAAAATATTAGGAAAAAGATCAAGAGTTATATAACCTGAAATGGTCTGTTTTGTTAACTGTGTATTTAATATACCATCGACTACACATCGAACCTGGATATATAATGCTATGTAAATGTGGAAACTTAATCGTTTCGATACAAGATTCCACTAGAACTTAATACTTCTGTACAAATTTACCAGCCTAGATCGTGTTTTTACCTACGACAACCAAAATATATTTGTGTATCAATTTTAGCAAAGGTTGTCTAGGTTCATTATTGAAATCTAGGCTGACGTAATTAATTCCGATTTTAACGACAAAACTTTAAAATATCGTATCGGCTATTTTACTACTTGGTCCCCTCGGGTGGTAAATACATATATGGGTCACCTCTAAACAATACTACATGCGTGACAATTTACTTAAACTGTTACAAAATGTTTAAAAAAAACTTGTACATTTTAATCTTTAACATCTGTAATTTATTAGGCTGGAAGTACCCTATAAGCAATTTTCATGTATTAAAATCATACAATAATTTATGCAATTTTCTAATGTCTTAGATTTGATCTTGATTCATTTGTTTGAAAACGCACATATTTTACACTTTAAAAAGCAGTATGTGCAATGTGTGAATTTTTAGTACCGTTTTCATTACATTTTTTTTCAAGATACCTGACAAATGCAAACTAAATTGTGTAAGGATTTTTTCTTTACATGTGTATACTATGCATTTATTATACATATCTACTATATAGTATAAATGTTTACTCACAGAAATTTTCATTATTAAAAGGACAAAATTTGTTTCCTATGATATTAGTAAAATGGTATTACATTTATCCTTAACAATAAAACATACTTCTGAAGCTTAGGCTTCAAACAATATAAAGAAATGATTGGAAAAAAAATTAATTCTGGCATAATCAGTTGAAGAAATATAGCGAAGTTGTAAATTAAAATATATCGGGTCGCGGTATCGATATAAGGCGAAAACGACATTAAGGTATACTTGTTCATGTAGTTCTGCTCAGTGTTTTCACTTTATCTCTTCCCATGTCTGTTAATTGCTTGTCCAGATACTCGAAACATGTTTATTTTAAAACTTGGCTAATTCTACAACTTCGTTATATTGCTTTTACCAACTATCGTAACGATATTATTGATTTTACTTAGCAGATGATAACTCATTTGTAATTTATATACTAAATGAATTAATTCGACAGTTTTTGTATTAAAGCTTAATCATTAATATATTGTTATTATACAAAATATTTATACTCTTTTTTATGCTTACAGATGCTCATAGTAGCTGCTGGTTGAGGAAGTGAAATGAACAATATTGAGAACCAAAGAGGTAAATTTAAGTAAAAATTATTCCATATTCCTAAAAAGATCAAATTATAAGTGTGTAAAGATATTTAATTTAACTTAAGGGTGTCATTACGTTGATCCTTATTCTGTAGCATTATGATGAACCTTAGTCATCTGACTTCTGTGATAGACAGTAATACGTCCTAACGTGAACTGACCATACAAAATTCCGAAGATAATTACGAGAATGTTATTACCAATTCCTTATGACAAAATTTTTATTCACAGATTTTAAATCGCAGCTGCTTCATCATCCCGTATGTATTTTACATGCAAAAGGAAGAAATTCAAGGAAGGTTATTCAGTGCTTAAAAGAACTTCAACATAATTTAAGGTGTCTTCTTTTTTTTTTTTTTTTTTTTTTTGTTCACAATATTTTTTCGATGACATTTCAACGTGTTCTAAGTTTATTACATCAAAGATCTAAATTTATTAACATTTTTGCATAATGCATTAACAAAATATATTTTGTTCCACAGGAAGAAATCCCATTTGTCTTGTGGAAATTAAGAACTGAAACGGATTGACATACACAGATTATCTGATTTAAAAACCACAAGATCAAAAATACACATCACAAGTACACGAAGCCTTCATTTCGAATTATTCAGGTTTAAGGTAATATGTACACACATATATACGTATATATTCTTATAAGATATTTGAATTATATATATCAAGGACATAAATGATATTAACATAAATTTTTTTTTTCGTATAATTTATTAAATACAAAAGATAAAATAATAACACAATGATGATAGACTTTCGGGACTGAGATTATTGAGGAAAACCAAGATTCTCGACGTGTAACATTTTACTGAGATAAATAGAACTTTATACATGCAAACGTTAATATTACTTTCTGCCAATAATAAGAAAATCTCCGTTTTTTTCAGAATAGGGCGAAACTACTGTGGTGGTTATGTTATGACAGAAGGAAAGAGATAGAGCGGGTAGACGGAAAAGAAAAGGTGAGTTTCGTCTTGGGTCATATATAATAACGTAAATCTTTTTCTTCGTATAATTTATTATATACAAAAGATAAAATAATACAATGATGATAGCCTTTCGGGACTGAGATTATTGAGGAAAACCAAGATTCCCGACGTGTAACATTTTACTGAGATAAATAGAAATTTATACATGCAAACGTTAATATTACTTTCTGCCAATAATAAGAAAATCTCCTTTTTTCGGAATAGGGCGATACTGCTGTGGTGGTTATGTTATGACATAAGGAAAGAGATAGAGAGGATAGACGGAAGAGAAAAGGTGAGTTTCGTCTTGAGTCATATATAATAATGTAAATCTTTTTCTTCGTATAATTTATTATATACAAAAGATAAAATAATAACACAATGATGATAACCTTTCGGGGCTGAGATTATTGAGGAAAACCAAGATTCTCGACGTGTAACATTTTACTGAGATAAATAGAAATTTATACATGCAAACGTTAATATTACTTTCTGCCAATAATAAGAAAATCTCCTTTTTTTTCAGAATAGGACGAAACTACTGTGGTGGTTATGTTATGACAGAAGGAAAGAGAGCAGGTAGACGAAAAAGAAAAGGTGAGTTTCGTCTTGGGTCATATATAATAACGTAAATCTTTTTCTTCGTATAATTTGATTATACACAAAAGATAAAATAATAACACAATGATGATAGACTTTCGGGACTGAGATTATTGAGGAAAACCAAGATTCCCGACGTGTAACATTTTGCTGAGATAAATAGAAATTTATACATGCAAACGTTAATATTACTTTCTGCCAATAATAAGAAAATCTCCTTTTTTTTCAGAATAGGACGAAACTACTGTGGTGGTTATGTTATGACAGAAGGAAAGAGAGCAGGTAGACGAAAAAGAAAAGGTGAGTTTCGTCTTGGGTCATATATAATAACGTAAATCTTTTTCTTCGTATAATTTGATTATACACAAAAGATAAAATAATAACACAATGATGATAGACTTTCGGGACTGAGATTATTGAGGAAAACCAAGATTCTCGACGTGTAACATTTTACTGAGATAAATAGAACTTTATACATGCAAACGTTAATATTACTTTCTGCCAATAATAAGAAAATCTCCTTTTTTTTCAGAATAGGACGAAACTACTGTGGTGGTTATGTTATGACAGAAGGAAAGAGATAGAGCGGGTAGACGGAAAAGAAAAGGTGAGTTTCGTCTTGGGTCATATATAATAACGTAAATCATTTTCTTCGTATAATTTATTATATACAAAAGATAAAATAATAACACAATGATGATAGACTTTCGGGACTGAGATTATTGAGGAAAACCAAGATTCTCGACGTGTAACATTTTACTGAGATAAATAGAAATTTATACATGCAAACGTTAATATTACTTTCTGCCAATAATAAGAAAATCTCCTCGTTTTCAGAGTAGGGCGAAACTGCTGTGGTGGTTATTTTATGACAGAAGGAAAGAGAGCAGGTAGACGAAAAAGAAAAGGTGAGTTTCGTCTTGAGTCATATATAATAACGTAAATCATTTTCTTCGTATAATTTATTATATACAAAAAATAAAATAATACAATGATGATAGACTTTCGGGACTGAGATTATTGAGGAAAACCAAGATTCCCGACGTGTAACATTTTACTGAGATAAATAGAAATTTATACATGCAAACGTTAATATTACTTTCTGCCAATAATAAGAAAATCTCTTTTTCAGAATAGCGCGAAACTGCTGTGGTGGTTATGTTATGGCAGAAGGAAAGAGATAGAGCGAGTAGACGGAAAAAAAAAGGTGAGTTTCGTCTTGGGTCATATATAATAACGTAAATCTTTTTCTTCGTATAATTTATCGTGCAAACGTTAATATTACTTTCTGCCAATAATAAGAAAATGTTTTTTTTTCAGAATAGGACGAAACTACTGTGGTGGTTATGTTATGACAGAAGGAAAGAGAGCAGGTAGACGAAAAAGAAAAGGTGAGTTTCGTCTTGGGTCATATATAATAACGTAAATCATTTTCTTCGTATAATTTATTATATACAAAAGATAAAATAATAACACAATGATGATAACCTTTCGGGGCTGAGATTATTGAGGAAAACCAAGATTCTCGACGTGTAACATTTTACTGAGATAAATAGAAATTTATACATGCAAACGTTAATATTACTTTCTGCCAATAATAAGAAAATCTCCTTTTTTTTCAGAATAGGACGAAACTACTGTGGTGGTTATGTTATGACAGAAGGAAAGAGAGCAGGTAGACGAAAAAGAAAAGGTGAGTTTCGTCTTGGGTCATATATAATAACGTAAATCTTTTTCTTCGTATAATTTGATTATACACAAAAGATAAAATAATAACACAATGATGATAGACTTTCGGGACTGAGATTATTGAGGAAAACCAAGATTCTCGACGTGTAACATTTTACTGAGATAAATAGAAATTTATACATGCAAACGTTAATATTACTTTCTGCCAATAATAAGAAAATCTCCTCTTTTTCAGAGTAGGGCGAAACTGCTGTGGTGGTTATTTTATGACAGAAGGAAAGAGAGCAGGTAGACGAAAAAGAAAAGGTGAGTTTCGTCTTGGGTCATATATAATAACGTAAATCTTTTTCTTCGTATAATTTATTATATACAAAAGATAAAATAATACAATGATGATAGCCTTTCGGGACTGAGATTATTGAGGAAAACCAAGATTCCCGACGTGTAACATTTTACTGAGATAAATAGAAATTTATACATGCAAACGTTAATATTACTTTCTGCCAATAATAAGAAAATCTCTTTTTCAGAATAGGGCGAAACTGCTGTGGTGGTTATGTTATGGCAGAAGGAAAGAGATAGAGCGAGTAGACGGAAAAAAAAGGTGAGTTTCGTCTTGGGTCATATTTAATAACGTAAATCTTTTTCTTCGTATAATTTATTATATACAAAAGATAAAATAATACAATGATGATAGCCTTTCGGGACTGAGATTATTGAGGAAAACCAAGATTCCCGACGTGTAACATTTTACTGAGATCAATAAAAATTTATACATGCAAACGTTAATATTACTTTCTGTCAATAATAAGAAAATCTCCGTTTTTTCAGAATAGGGCGAAACTGCTGTGGTGGTTATGTTATGACAGAAGGAAAGAGATAGAGCGGGTAGACGGAAAAGAAAAGGTGAGTTTCGTCTTGGGTCATATATAATAACGTAAATCTTTTTCTTCGTATAATTTATTATATACAAAAGATAAAATAATAACACAATGATGATAACCTTTCGGGGCTGAGATTATTGAGGAAAACCAAGATTCCCGACGTGTAACATTTTACTGAGATAAATAGAAATTTCTACATGCAAACGTTAATATTATTTTCTGCCAATAATAAGAAAATCTCCTTTTTTCGGAATAGGGCGATACTGCTGTGGTGGTTATGTTATGACATAAGGAAAGAGATAGAGAGGATAGACGGAAGAGAAAAGGTGAGTTTCGTCTTGAGTCATATATAATAATGTAAATCTTTTTCTTCGTATAATTTATTATATACAAAAGATAAAATAATAACACAATGATGATAGCCTTTCGGGACTGAGATTATTGAGGAAAACCAAGATTCCCGACGTGTAACATTTTACTGAGATAAATAGAAATTTATACATGCAAACGTTAATATTACTTTCTGCCAATAATAAGAAAATCTCCTTTTTTCGGAATAGGGCGATACTGCTGTGGTGGTAATGTTATGGCAGAAGGAAAGAGATAGAGCCGGTAGACGGAAAAGAAAGAGGTTGCGGGGGAACTGTTAGACTCATGTCAAGAGTTGTGTTCATACAAACGAGTGTCTTTAGTGAGGATTAGTGATAATTGGTCGTTAATCTATCCCTGGTGGTGGAGGGTAGGAAGTACCGCTGCACTACTATGAGATGGTTGAAAGGTGGTGACAGCTTATTGTGGAAATATTACTATTATTATCAACAATTAAGTAACTGAAGTAATGCAAATATGAAATGTAAATAAATGAATATTTGTATATAAATTTATTGTGATGAATTTTTGGCTAGAGTACTGAATAAAAGATGACGAACTGTTATTTATATATTCTGCTGATATTTACTATATGAAT